TAATCTGTGTTGTATTGGGCTATAAATTTTTACAATCAATTTAATTAATTTAGTAGATCAATTTACTTTTTGGGGGTGATCGTATTCCATCAAAGTAGCTTGGGTTTTCTTTTGGGAATTCCTTCACTGTCTATTTATAAGGCATGCTGTTTCTTTCTTGGTGCCACACATCTGTTGTGGCTCATCATCCAGAGTGATGGGGAAGAGAGGAACGTGAGAATTCCCTGCTTATTGGAAGGAAGGGTCTTCCCGGAGTATCCAGAGAAGACTGACCAAGTTGATCAAAGGTCTAGCACTGGCATGGGCAAACTTTGGCCCTCCAGATGTTTTGGACTTCAACTCCCACCATTCCAAACAGCCTCAGGCCCTTTCCTTTCCCCCATCAGCCACTTAATCCCTAGAAAGAGAGGGCTAACATCTGTCGGGGATGCTTACCTTCGGCTTGAATCCTCACTCATATTACATTTACAGCAAGAATGGGCAAACTTGGGCCCTCCAGGTGTTTTGGACTTCAACTCCCACCATTCCTAACAGCCTCGGGCCATTTCCTTTCCCCCCTCAGCTGCTTCAGCCCTAGAAAAAGAGATTGAACATCTGTTAGGGATGCTTTAATTGGGCTTGAACCCTCACTCATATTATGTCTACACCAAACATGGACAAAATTGGACCCTCCAGGTTGTTTGGATTTCCACCATTCCTAACAGCTAGGCATGTTTAGCCTGAAGAAGAGAAGGCTGAGAGGAGATATGATAGCCATGTATAAATATGTGAGAGGAAGCCACAGGGAGGGAGGGAGCAAGCTTGTTTTCTGCTTCCTTGGAGACTAGGACACAGGAACAATGGCTTCAAACTACAAGAGAGGAGATTCCATCTGAACATGAGGAAGAACTTCCTGACTGTGAGAGCCGTTCAGCAGTGGAACTCTCTGCCCATGACTGGATGGCCCATGAAGTCTCTTCCTACTCTCTGATTCTATATTTCAGGCCCTTTCCTTTCCCCCCTCAGCTGCTTCAGCCCTAGAAAAAGAGAGCTAACATCTGTTGGGGATGCTTTAATTGGGCTTGAACCCTCACTCATATTACGTCTGCACCAAGCATGGGCAAACTTGGGGGCCTCCAGGTGTTTTGGACTTCCAACTCTCACAATTCCTAATAGCCTTAGACCCGTTCATTTCCCCCTTAATCGCTTAAGCAGAAAGGAAAGGAAAGAAAGGAAAGGGCCTGAGGCTGTTAGGAATTGTGGGAACTGAAGTCCAAAACACCTGGAGGGCCAAAGTTTGCCCATGCCTGGTGTTGATGCATACTTCCCTTCTCTCATGAAGCTTTGTCAAAGAGTTGACCCTTGAATTGGAGGATGATTTCATCTTTCTTGCTCTCACTCTGGCTCATTCTTTTTGCCTACTCCTCACATTTGCATGCGAGATTATACTTTTTCATAAATGATTAGTTTTACACATTGAGGACCTGGCTTACTCGTGGGGTTAGCTTAGTATTTCAAGTGTACCTCATGATCTCTCTGCTACAATAAATCATTTAGAAGAACACCTCTTTCAGCTGTTACCTGGGAGGATTGTATTACAAATGTTACCAAGTGTCACTTTGAAAGAGTGCGGAGTTCTCTGGGGCATTGGGTTTCATATGCATAGGACTTTATACTTGTCATGCGGACAGCCAGGACTGCATAAATAAGCAGCATTGTCTGAAAATTCAGATTTTCTAGAGCAGGAATGAGTCATGGAATTTAAACATGTTATGTTACCATCGTGGTTACCATTCTTTTTCTGATAACAGCATGGTTCGATATTGTTTCTGCTAAGTAAGAACACAGTTACATGGCTTGCAGTACTACTAGAATCATAAAATCATAGAATCAAAGAGTTGGAAGAGACCTCATGGGCCATCCAGTCCAACCCCCTGCCAAGAAGCAGGAATATTGCATTCAAATCACCCCTGACAGATGTCCATCCAGCCTGTTTAAAAGCTTCCAAAGAAGGAGCCTCCACCACACTGGGGCAGAGAGTTCCACTGCTGAACGGCTCTCACAGTCAGGAAGTTCTTCCTCATGTTCAGATGGAATCTCCTTTCTTGTAGTTTGAAGCCATTGTTCACGTCCTAGTCTCCAGGGAAGCAGAAAACAAGCTTGCTCCCTCCTCCCTGTGGCTTCCTCTCACATATTTATACATGGCTATCATGTCTCCTCTCAGCCTTCTCTTCTTCCGGCTAAACATGCCCAGCTCTTTAAGCCGCTCCTCATAGGGCTTGTTCTCCAGACCTTGATCATTTTAGTCGCCCTCCTCTGGACACATTCCAGCTTGTCAATATCTCTCTTGAATTGTGGTGCCCAGAATTGGACACAATATTCCAGGTGTGGTCTACCCAGCAGAATAGAGGGGTAGCCTGACTTCCCTAGATCTAGACACTATGCTCCTATTGATGCAGGCCAAAATCCCATTGGCTTTTTTTGCCGCCACATCACATTGTTGGCTCATGTTTAACTTGTTGTCCACGAGGACTCCAAGATCTTTTTCACACGTACTGCTCTCGAGCCAGGCATTGTCCACCATTCTGTATCTTTGCATTTCGTTTTTCCTGCCAAAGTGGAGTATCTTGCATTTGTCACTGTTGAACTTCACTTTGTTAGTTTTGGCCAATCATCTCTCTGATCTGTCAAGATCGTTTTGAATCCTGCTCCTGTCCTCTGGAGTATTGGCTATCACTAGAATGACAGCAAAAGGACTAATCTCCCAAGGTGGAATAGTTATTTTATACTTTTGCTTTAAAGTAATGGAAGAAAAAGATGTGTTTTAATAGATGGATGAGTACGATTGGCTTCTAAGTTGTTGTATCGTCAAACCTTATTTTTTGAATTAAAAAAAATTACTTGACAAAAAAACAGAGTGATTGAATCAGAACACGAGTTTCTGCTTCGCCATCAATAGTGCATTACAAGATCTATGAAAGCTGTGTTGGAAGAGATCTCTTTTTGTTCAGCTGAATTGAAATATACTTGAAGGCAAACACTCTTACTTTTAAGCAATTGTCTTGCTTCTTTACACTCTGGGGATTTGCGTAGGCTTCACAACTGAATATTGAATTTTTGTGTGTGACGGGATATCAAATGCATTGCTTCCTCCCGGAAGTTTTTTTTTTTCCTGTTCCTTCCAGATAATTTTCAAAGTGCCATGAAGCGATTTGGCATATATTAATATTTTACGTCATCACATCCTCTAAGATGCAGAGTTTTCACTTAATTTACTTGCGGGGTTATCAAAACTGTTAAGGTATTTCAGTACCATCTTGAATGCATCCATGCTGTGCAAACTGAGAGAAATGCTGCAAACTAGGTATTTGAAAGTATGTATTTCATTTTCATGATATAGCAGGCATGGGCAAACTTTGGCCCTGCAGGTGTTTTGCACTCTCACAATTCCTAAAAGGCACTTTCCTTTTCCGCTTTAGTGACTGAGAGGGAAAAGGAAGGGACCTGAGGCTATTAAGAATTGTGGGAGTTGAAGTCCAAAACAGCTGGAGGGCTGAAGATTGTCCATGCTGTGATATAGCATCCAGTCTCCGATTGAACACAAAGCCAAGCCATACCTCTGAAAGGGTTTGGACCTGTGTCAATACTAGTTGTAGGTCCAAGCCTCCCTCAGATTGAAGGATAGGTCAGGAATTTTCTGTGCATTAGATAAATCCCTATAATGATCCTGTATTATTCTTTGTATACATCAGTGGTTCCCAAATTTATTTATTTTTTTACCAGGGACCACTCTCTAACATTGGTACCACAAAAGGGTTATGAATCAGTTTTTGGTCAACTTTAGATTTCAGTGTACTGTCGAAGGCTTTCATGGCTGGAATCACTGGGTTGTTGTAGGGGTTTTTTGGGGTTATATGGCCATTTTCAAGAGGCATTCTCTCCTGACGTTTCGCCTGCATCTATGGCAAGCAACCTCAGAGGTTGTGACCTCACAACCTATGAGGATACTTGCCATAGATGCAGGTGAAACGTCAGGAGAGAACGCCTCTAGAACATGACCATATAGCCTGAAAAAACCTACAACAACCCAACTTTAGATTTTGTTTGGTTATTTGGGACACTGATTCAAAAAAACTGCATTTGTTCATAGAATCATAGAGTTGGAAGAGACCTCATGGGCCATCCAGTCCAACCCATTCTGCCAAGAAGCAGGAATATTGCATTCAAAGCACCCCTGACAGATGGCCATCTAGCCTCTGTTTAAAAACCTCCAAAGAAGGAGCCTCCACCACACTCTGGAGCAGAGAGTTCCACTGCTGAACAGCTCTCACAGTCAGAAAGTTCTTCCTCATGTTCAGATGAAATCTCCCTTCTTGTAGTTTGAAGCCATTGTTCTGCATCCAGGGAAGCAGAAAACAAGCTTGCTCCCTCCTCCCTGTGACTTTCTCTCACATATTTATCCATGGCTATCATATCTCCTCTCAGTCTTCTCTTCTTCAGGCTAAACATGCCCAGCTCCTTAAGCCACTCCTCATAGGGCTTGTTCTCCAGACCCTTAATCATTTTAGTCACCTTCCTCTGGACACATTCCAGCTTGTCAACATCTCTCTTCAATTGTGGTGCCCAGGATAGACTACATCAGCTCTAGTTTCCAATACAGAACATATGCCACCCAGTAGTTGCCATCTGCTCTCTCACAGAAAACCATATTTAATCATCTAAAGCTGATGCAGTAGTTGTTCTGTCACGTGCTGGGCCTGTAACAGCTTTACTTTTCTATAGGACATATATTTTAAGCCCAGCGGGAAGCCAGGGGGCCTCAAAGAGAGATTCTCAGGGATTTTTCTGAAGTGATTATCTTTAGAGTCTTTTATGACACAACAAAGTCTTTATTATGGAACAAACAACAAATCTTCAATGGTTCAAACAACACTTCAAGGCTTTCTTAGTCTAGTCCTCAATGGACTGGTACCTGACTTTGATTAACTGTACTTTCTCTGTAAGAAAAAACCCTATTTAACCTCTCCCAGGCTGTTTACTATCTATGCCTCATCGGTGTGGGTCCTACTACAGATTCCAAATGCGTCTGGGTATCGAGTAGACCTACCAGCCGAGGCTTGAAGATATTTCAGCTGGAGTTCCGTGGATCTGTAATGCTGTCCACCCTCCGAGAATTCTTTGAAAACTTCAAGGCTGTTTTCCCTCTTATTGCTGTGAGGTTGAGCGGCTGTGAGCTCTCAGCCAGAGCCTTGGGACCTTTCTCCTGGAATTTCTGTTTCTGTTTCCCTGGATATTCTTGAGAAAAGAAGCTTTTCTACAGGATGAGCTGGTCTACATCCTATAATTTAGCTTCCTTATGTGAGACTGCCCCAAAAAATGGCTCCTTTCCCTCCCAGAGCCCTGAACAAGGGGCGGAACCAAAGCTTAATTATGATGGACAGGAGGCCTGCCCTATGCAAACAGATAACAGAAAGAAAATAAAATTGGAGCTCCTAGTACAGCCATACCAGCACAGTAGTAGTAATCTTTTGTGAGTAGTCAGCCTCTCCCCTCCTGATATTCCTGTTGCCTCGGCAATATAAGAGGGTTTTGTGGTTTTGAGGTAACAGTGTAGTAATGGTGAGGCCGTGGACCATATTTTTGTTTTTGCGGACCACTGGTGATTCATGGATCACATGTTGGGAACCACTGGTATAGATTTTATATGAAGGCTTTAGTTGATAATGCCTATTAAGAACAACACTGGGTATCATTGTAGTTCCAAAGACCACTTGCTGTTGGTGGCACAGAGAGAAGAGACTGTGAAAAGAACTTCAGCTGCTGAATATGTTCATATGGGCTGTATATTGCAGTCTGTATACTGGCAGACTCTAATTGTATTGCTCTGTTTGTATTGGTTTGAGATGAGAATAAGTTGGCAGCAGCAGCAACAGCACTAACCAGCCGTTTACAAAAGAATGAGGAGGGAGGGCATGTTCAAGAAGTAGACCAGCACCGCGTAGCCATGAAGAAGAAGCTTCCAACCTTAATGCAGCTGTGCACTCGACATGGCAAGAAGATACCAAAGGCTGCGATAAAAACGGATGTTGGAAATGCCTGCTTTCAACTCTGAACCTCTTGCTCCCTTTTTGGATGAAGCACTTTGGCTTACAGACTGAACTGTTTCAGACAGGTTCTAGAATCAGGGCATTGTTCATTTCTTGTCAATTCCTTGGAGAGAACGAGGAGAGCATGTATCAATTCCCCTCTTCTTTTGCCCTCTTTCCAAACACGTGCCCTTTTCCAAAACATTAGGTTATTCCGGGAGCACAGCAGCTGTATCAGCATGACCTGGTTTCCAGGTAACCAACCAAAAAAAAAGTAGGGGGGAGAATAGAAAAAAAAAACTTGTCAGCTGTAACAATGCACAATGAATAACTCCTGGATGATAAAAGCAAGAGAAGATCGTTAGACAAGGCAGCACCTGTTTCCCTGTGAACAGCAAGTGTTGAAATAATGATGGCCTGGGAATACAAGAGGTTCAAAGATACCTATTTTTTTTCAAACAATTAAAGTGAATTGTGGCACAGGGAACCATCCCAACATTGCTCTTAGGAGACCAGTGATTATGCTGCTATTTATTTGGTGGCACATTTCTGTGTTCTTATGCCTGTTTCTAATAATTCTTGGCATTGCTGCAGTGATGAATATAAACATCCTTCCACATTAAGGGCATAGGAAGTGGAAGTGGAAAGTGCAATTTTAAAAAAACAAACTTTTTTTTTTAATTTGAGAAAACAATTCTCCAGGAATCTTTGGGTGCTCTGGCACAACCCTATTGTTAACTTTTGGTGGAGGTTGACCATAGGTTGTCCATTAAGTTACTGACATTAAGTTAATGTTAATACTGGAAGTTAATAGTGGAAGACGTAGTCATTCCTAAAGAGAACATTTTAATTATGAGTGAATCATATGTGCTGTAGGTTGTATTTTAGAGAAAGGAACTGGCAAAACCATCTGTGAGTATTGCTCACCTTTGAAATTCATGAAGTCACCATAAGCTGATGAATGATTTGCAGACACGTATGTACACATACACAAAGCAGAAAAGCACGTGACAACAAAAGACCGCAACAGATGGTTTGATTGCATCAAGGAATCTCTTATTCATAGATTGGTTGTAAGTAACAGCTGACCTAATGGCCACTAATAGCAACAACGCAATTCACAACAAAAGGGTGGACTGGAGTCCACACATATACTGCATCAAGTGTGGGAGGATTCAACCCGCGTCATCAGTGTAGTGATTCCGGTGTATCCTTCAAATCTATCACTGTAAAAGCAGCTACCATTTATTTATGTATTTATTTATTTCAAACATATGTATCCCATCCTTCTCAACCTCCAAGGGTGGCTTACAATCAGCAAAAATTTGATGCCAATACACACAACAAAACAATATAACACAAAACTGACATTAATTAAAAACAATGTTATAAAATATCCAGTTAAAAGATTTTTAACAACAATCTAACCACATCCAAGTTCAGCTTAGTGTCCAGAGTTCCAGTCCAAAGCCTGTGCCTTATTAGTTCTCATAAAGTATTGCAATTACTTGTTAAGCTTGCTACTCGAATGCCTGGTCCCAAAGCCATGATTTGAGCTTCTTCCTAAAGGAAAAGATAGATGGAGCTGACCTAATTTCATTGGGGAGTGTGTTCCAACCAGATCGGGGTATAGGGTGGCAACTTGTGTTGGACGGGGTTGCACTCCCCCTGTAGTCACAGGTCCACACTGGGTGTCCTCCTGGACTCATCACTTACGCTTGAAGCCCAGGCGTCGGCGGTGGCCGGGAGGGACTTTGCACAATTTAGACTCATGTGCCAGCTGCGACTGTACCTCGTGAAGGCGGATCTGGCCAGGGTGGTCCATGCCTTAGTCACCTCCAGATTGGATTACTGTAATGCACTCTACTTGGGGCTGCCCTTGAAAACGGCCCAGAAATTTCAATTGGTCCAGCGGGCGGCGGCCAGGTTGTTAACCGGGCTCCTTACAGGAGCGGTCAACCCTCCTGTTTAAGGAGCTCCACTGGCTGCCGTTCATTTTCCGGTCCCAATTCAAGGTGCAGGTTCTTACCTACAAAGCCCTAATGGTTTGGGACCCGCCTACCTGCGTGACCGCATCTCTGTGTACGAACCCACACGATCTCTTCGATCATCTGTAGAGGCCCTGCTCACGCTCCCACCTCCATCTCAGCGTAATTGGTGGGTACGAGGGAGAGGGCCTTCTCGGTGGTGGCCCCTCAACTCTGGAACTCGCTTCCCAAGGACATCCGGGATGCCCCAACTCTGGCAATCTTTAGGAGGAGCCTGAAACGTTGTTGTTCCAGTGTGCCTTTCCAGAATAAATGAAACTCTCAGCAATATGTCCTCAAAATGCACTTTATTATTGATTTAGGATTGATTTACACGCCCTATCCCCTCCGAAATTTCTATCCCAGTTATCTCCTACCGTGCTCATGCCCAGCATTATTTTTAAATTTTAATTTTACATTTGGCCCAGCCATAGATTTTTAAATGCTTGTTGTGTTACTGCATTGCTTATTTTTATTTTGCTTATGAGTTACATTTTAACTATTTTGTATTTTTTGTTGCTATTGCTTTATTATTGTTGTATTGTGGGCTCGGCCTCGTGTAAGCCGCACCGTCCCTTGGGGAGATGGTAGCGGGGTATAAATAAAGTTTTATTATTATTATTATTATTATTATTCCACAGACGGGGGGCCACCACCAAGAAGGCCCTATCTCTTGTATCTGCCAATCATGCTTGCGAAGGAGGCGGGATTGAGAGTAGGGTCTCCCCAAACGATCTTAGACTCCAAGGTGGATTGTAGAGGGAGATACATTGGGACAAGTTCCCAGTTCCTTCTGCAGCCACTGCCATCCCCATCCCTTGCCCGACCCTCTCTTCATTCTATTTCCCCTCTATCCTTTGCATATGCCTATATTACTGCACCCACTCAACCACTTACGGGGAGGGGGGGAAGGGATTAACAGGGAAAGGGAATTGAGTGGAAGGGTGTCCAATGAGAATGCATGGTAAGTTGTAAGACTGGCATAAAAACAAGGAATGGTGATTGGTAAAGACATGCATGCCAATGAGAATGCACGTCCAATGAGAATGCATGGCAAGTTGCAAGACTGACACGAAAACAAGGAATGATGATAGGTAAAGACATGCATCCTGGGAACAAAGAAACGAAGCCACAGCAAGCCGTTTTGTCCTGATGTGACTTCTTCTGGGGTTTGGATTATAATGGGTTTGGGTGATGCTAACAGGAGTCAAAAAGGCACAGGATAATGCACAGTGAAGCTCTATTATTTTGCTAGTACAGACAAGGCCATTAAATATTAATCTCACCACGTCTTGCAGGATTCATTCATTTCTTTTATATGCTGCCTTTCTTCCAGTGTGGGGCCTAGGGTGGCTGCTGGTAGTTGAAGTGTTAACCTTCAAGTGTGGAAAGAAAGGAAATAGCTACCCTGTGCAGCAGTGTTGCAGAAGCAGGAAACAGTGGAAAGAGGGGGAACGGGTACAGGCAAAGGGCCAAATGAAACAGCCCGGTTGGATAAACACAAAGGATCTTGACAAGGGCGGGGGAGACAAAAATGGCAAAGAGTTATCTGGAAACATAAAGAGAATATGGCACCATAGAAACAGAGATAAATGAGGTACTTTTTCATAAATAGCAACTGGTAAAATATGAACCCGAGGTTTGCATTGTAAAAGGAGGCAGGAATACCATCCAGTTAGTTAGCTGCTTCTCCAAACCAAAGACCCCATTTCTATAACAGAAGAAGGGACAGCTGCACAGACTCCCCTGCACCATAATGGCATAGATAACGTAGTGGGCTGTTGCTCATGTTTCACAACAATATTGAGGGTCAGATTGCTTGGTAGCCCAATTGTGTATGTGAATCATTGACAGAAGCCAGAGGCCTAAAATAGGAGTGTAGTACAGAGAGACCAGGTTGCAGACCAGAGATTCCCAAACCATGGCCCTAAATCATTCTATAATACAAACCTGCATGT